CTTGTTTGGAGAAACCAAAGGTATACAACAAATGGCATCACCGAGGATGCAAAGATGGGCTATAACCTTGAGTGCTTACAGTTACAAGATTGTTTATATTACCGGCGTCAGCAATTGCACAGCTGATGCACTCAGCCGTCTGCCGATCACGGAAACTGCACATGAACACGACCCTCCGTTTGAACTGGTTAATCTAATGCAACATCTAGACACAACACCGATACGGAGTTCAACAATCCGTCAATGGACGGATCGAGACCCCGTGCTATCAATGGTGAAACGCTTTTTGAACATGGGTTGGCCTCCTGAAGGGACAGTTGAATTACAACCGTTTATGATTCGGAAGAACGAACTGAGTCTATTCGACGGCTGTGTTTTTTGGGCTCTCGTCTAGTCCCTCCCACCAAGGCGCGTTCACAGATACTTAAAGAGCTCCATGATGCTCATCCAGGTGTGGCGAGGATGAAGGCACTAGCGAGAGGGTACTGCTGGTGGCCCAACATCGACTCAGACATAGAGAACTTACTGAAGAATTGCGATATTTGTCAGGCGTATCAGCGGAGCAAGGCGCCAGGTCCAATACACCCTTGGCGTTGGCCCGACAAGCCCTGGCAGCGTATCCACGCTGACTACTTCGGTCCGATTGACGGGACCATGTTTCTTCTACTTATTGATGCACATTCTAAGTGGATTGACGTACATCCAGTTACTTAGGCGACAGCCGAATCCACCATCACTAAAATGCGCTCGTCCTTCGCTACGTTTGGCATTCCGGAAACCATTTGTACAGACAATGGTTCGCCTTTTACCAGTGCCGAATTTGGTAAATTTGTCGCCAACAACGGAATCCAACACGTTAAATCAGCCCCGTATCACCCAGCATCAAACGGATTAGCAGAGCGTGCAGTACAAACTGTGAAACAAGGCTTACTAGAGCAGCGAACGGGAACATTGCGAACAAAACTGGATCGGTTTCTATTCTCCTACCGTTCTACACCCACTGAGACTACCTGGAAATCCCCGGCGGAATTGATGTTCGGCAGAAATCTGAGAACGAGGCTTCATTTGTTGTTCCCGAACCCGCGTGTTGAAGTACAGGAGCGTCAGAAAAAGTTTGTGTCTTCAGAGGAATCAAAACCGGAAGTTACATTTCAGGACCATCAACCTGTTTACACCAGGTTACCGCATGAACAATGTTGGCAGCCGGCGACTGTGCTCGATTCTTCAGGAAGTCAAAACGATTTGCAGCTTCCGGACGGCCGGGTTGTTCGCCGGCACTCAGACCATGTACGCCCCAGGAGCACTGACACACCTGCCGTGAGTCAGTTACACTGGGAGATCGCAGAGCAAGCTGCAGAGCACGACGAACACAGAACAACAGGGGAAACTCAATTACGTCGATCGACCCGGATTCGCAAACCGATCGAACGTTTTCAGCCATGACTGTAACGTCAGCCAAAAAAGGGAGGACTGTTACGTGTTCAACCAATGATCGCTCACTATGACCGTGGACTTGATTGGCCCTACACACACACGTAGATAAGCACGCACACACGCACTCAAGGACACACCCTAACTTTCCGTGTTACATGTAAACCGTTAAGTGTTCAGTATACTGTGCGCCATACTGACGCGTCTTCTTGCTTATTCGCTACTAGTTGAAATACGTACTTGCGGTTAGAGTCCAGCTGTGATACAGTCGTTCATACTTCAGTCAAATATTAAGCTTTTTTTAATTCATCTACTATTCAAGCTTCGTCCGATAGCCAATCGGTATTATGGACTGCCTTGTAATCCTAGGGTCGCCGGTTCGAATTTACATAGGTGCGGGCGAGATCGTAGTATACCCTTCCCTGCCGTGGCTGGTGTGAGTCGCGTTTCAACGAAGCGTCGAGAATTCACACCGGCCTACTGTTAACTGTTTAAGCGGACCAAGCCGAGCGGACTTACGACCTGAAATGCTTTTTTTGTAGTACAGTGGGCTAGATTCCAGTCAGCACTCCGCTCACCCACCTTACTGTTAGCGGAAGTAGTTCACACTGACAGTAATACCTCGCAGTTTGTGAGCTTATTTGAGGAGGAGTTTTTTGGGAGACACGGTCTGCAAAAATGTTTGAGAGTGTTACCTGGTTACGCTTCGAGGCACGCACGAATTTTAGAGCGAGACGGCAGACCAAACGACAGTTAACCCAATGAAACTCGTGGTGCTTCTCGAGCATTGAGTACCTATTCTTCGGAATGTCCACTTCAGCTCGGTTGATCACGCCGTCTGGAGTCATGCATGATGAGATCTATGAACCGATCATCCTGCTATGTAAACAAATAAATAACTAAATAAATAAATAAATTGTATATGGCTCGACGATGCGAGAAGCCGTTCCCAGAAGGGACGGATCAAATAATGGTACAGCAGTTTCATATCATGGTATAATAAATTTTTTTAAAAATGTGAGCACAAAATGAAAATTTGTGTAGCGCGAAGCGGTCCAGAATATTTACATTCCTCTTGTTCTATCGTCTGACAAGATTTTAGCAGTCACATGAGAGTTGATCGCACACGAGAAAAAAAAGAGAATAAAGTGCTGCGGGCCAACAAAATATAACCACTTGTGCACTTGATCACATGCATTTTCAGGCACCATAAACTCCGTTCTCAAAAGCGTTATCTAAGGACTGTGCTGTTCGAAACATTATTATCACATTTTGAACGGTTAAATAATCTTTATCGAAAGCTTAAACAAACGCAATGTGCAACAAGTTCTGATAGCTCTTGGAAGTTTGTTCCAAAGCTTTGAGCAGTGTAGTAAGAAGAAACGCTCCCTAATTCGCGTATTGAACTTTGGAATCATGACCGTTGTCTCCTTATCTCGTATCTAGTGTTAACGGCCATATGGACACAGTTAGCATAATTGTGCATGTGATGGTAAATTATTCTGTACAGGAAACACAGGTTCATCTTCATTATCCGTAGCCAAATTGGGTCAAGTCCAAGTTTTTCACTGCGCTCTCTGTAGGTCATCTTGGAGGAATATCCGCACAGCTTCTTTGTAAAGCGTCGCTGTACCCTCTCAAGAGCATGTTGGTCAGATTTCCGCAGATTCGACTGTATTAGTGAGCAGTATTCCATGCCAGGTAACACATATGTTTTATAAAGCCAGATACGAGATTCTGTGAGTTGAAATTTATGACAGATATAGCCAATAGTCTTCATGGCTTTCGAAACTTGGAAGTCACAATGTTCCGAAAAGTTGAAGGTAGTGGAATACCGCACACCCAAGTCGCGAATCACTTTGCACTGTGATATAAACGTGCCTTGTAATAATAGACTATCTGGTGGAACTTCGCATCTGTACGACAGAATATTACATTTGTCCACGGAAAAGGACATCTGCCACAGTTTGCTCCAGGATTCAAGTGCCGATAGATCTTCCTGAATGTGGCACAAGGCTGCGCGGGTATCTGCACGTTCTTGTGAGTAGACGATTTTAATGTGATCAGCAAACAGAAAAGTAGTACCATGTCTTATTCTATGAAATACATCGTTGACGTAGAGGAGAAAAAGAAGTGGACCAAGTACACTTCCCTGAATTACTCCACTGGTGACTGCTTTCGGTTTAGAGACACGGTCTCCAATACGCACCACCTGATGTCTGTCAGCTAGGTATGACGACAACCAAGAAAACATTGGTTCCCCAATACCTATTTCATTCAGCTTGAGGAGTAGTCTTCGATGCGGCACTCTGTCGAATGCTTTTTGCATGTCTAAGAACAGGACAATAACACTGTTGCCTTTGTCTATGGCAGCTGTTGTGTGGTTTAAGAAGTCTGTCTGGCATGTCGCACAAGATCTGCCCTGCAAAAAACCGTGTTGTGAATTGTTGATGACGTTTTTCTTATTCAAGAAAATAAGTAATTCATCTTTCACTATCCTTTCCATAATTCTAGATATTACAGGTGTGTGGTTGATGGGGCGATAGTTTTTAATTTCGTGAACGTTTCCATTCTTATGCCGCGGGATAACAACGGAAGTCTTCCAGTGCTTAGGATATACTGCACTGTTAAAAGAGAGCGTAAAAATGTTGAGCAATAGAAGAGGCAAGTCGCTCCCACCGCTTTTTAACAAACATGGGGGAATTCCATCAGGTCCTGGGTAAGTCAAGGAAGACAAGCGGGAGACTTGACCGGAGATTTTTGCAATAGTGAATTCCACTGTGCATAAACTTTCAGCGATGTGTGGTGTGACAAGCGCTGGTGTGGCTAGCGGTTCATCAACCATTGATTCGGCAAAATAGGCGCTGAAAGCCTCACAAATTTCACCCGGAGCATCAAGGTATGTGCCATCCGGCATAATGATAAAATTGATGGAATTACTGCGACGCAAACCTCTGGCACGAAACAGTTTGGGCAGTTCCGTTGTTTTATTCGGGCCATTCAAAGCTTTGTATTCTTCTAATATGAGATTGCGAACATTTAGATGCCCGAGTTCCTCGATGATCTTTGCCTCCTGGGCTTACCATGTTTACGTTATACGCCATTTGTTTTGTGTCCGTAGCTTGACTTTCGATCCTTGTGCAACCACTTTGTGAGTGGATCCCCTCTACGCATACTACGTATCTGATGAGCGCATATATTTTATATCGCTTCATTCCATTCATGTTCCTTATGCAATTCTATTAATCGTGGTGTCCAGCTTTTAGTTCCCTCTTTACCCGACGATCTGGATTACTTATTTACTGTGTCCAATGCGCTAGCCGTACAGAACATCGTTATATACTACACTCTTGTGCAGCTACCGGGTCGCGTATACTTGATATCTGTTCCGATGTTTTAAATTATTGAAACCATGCCTTTATTTATTTTGTTGTTGCATCTTGTTCAGTATTCCTTGTCAGTGTGTGTTTTTCATCAAGATTTTGGTGGCTTTTTTCTGCTGACATTGAGATTTCCTTCCATTGACTACCACATTTCATCTTTTTATCCGCCTCTGATCGTCACTTCAGTCATCCACCCCGCTTGGTACTGGATCTACAACTGGATGATGACAACTGCCCTAATCGCCCCACCTCTGGTACTGGACCCAAGCATCCTGTGCAGAAGTCGTCTAGCAACTTGCAGACTCTACGAGCCGATTTACTTTACGGCACAGCTGCGTTTGCCGATCGATCCGCAGAGCCATTGCCATGGGATGTCCTGGCATCACAGGACTCCGCAGGTGATGTCGATCGTGATGTTGTCCACTTTTCTGGCAACTCTACCGTCCTACCAAGCATTTCAGCGGGTATCAGAACTACGATGGATCCTACGGATATTTTTGTGGATGCTGTGCACAATTTCCACCCCAACTATCGTCATTATACTCAGGTGAATTACCCTTCGGTTGATGTTTTCTGTGGAGGTTTTTACTTTTTTGGGAAGTGTTCGGGCCACTGCGGTCACTCATGTTCATTGGTACCATGGACGAATGGCTGGTTACGTTGCGCCGTTTTGCCGAATTGCTATCTTGTTTGTTTCTCTTAGACCACTTCCTATCTTGTTGACTTTTTTGTCAGATTCTATCGGGTTTGTCTTTTATTTGTGGCCAGCTTCCACGTTACCTCAGCATTCGACACGGGTTTCATTGCATTATTTTTACATGATGTGAAGTCACTCACGCCTTGACCTCTCTGTTTACCAAATTGGTACTACCTTTCGAGGAGCACCAAGACAGTCCGCGTGATGCGAACAATCTTTGCATAGTTTATCTGATTAATGATCAAGAGTGTGGATACTACATCACGTAACCCGCACTATTTTTGAGAGTGTCTTTAACCTATATAACTGTCAGCTTTCTGGAACTAGGCTGTGTTGATCCGCGGGCCGTTAGCACCGTGCGTAATGACACAAGATGTAGGGCAAGCGAAATAAAACAGATACAGTGCGGCAACTACATACACAGTGATCAACACAACAACAAGCAAAATTTTGGGAAGCTGGATTTTAGCATCTACTAATATCCTAGATAAAATACGGTATAAAATCACATTGTTCTTCTAAGCGTTTCCTTGAAATCGCTGCGGGCAACTCCGGAAAATGTGTGACTGCCTACCTCGGGGAAGATGGAACAGTAGCTGACATCGAAGCCGTCGAAAAATGCCACCTCGGAAAAACACTAGTGAGCGGACAGGCAAACACGATTAGCGGAAGGGCTAGTATACTTTTCATTGATACCCCATTCGGTTCATCTAAAAGTAAGGGAGTTATCAAGCGATTACCATCAGTGTTTACAGCCATGAACGGACATAAAACGGGTTATAGGTCTTCTGGTGCTCTTGTGAGAATCGTAAACTCCATTGCTGTGCGATTACGCACGGCATCCGTTTACTTTTCACGTATCACAGCATTTATACATCGCACTCAGGTTTTTCGTCGTTTCTTTTATTCACTTCTGGCCAATGGTCGGTTGGCATAGGACGTCTGCCATGTAACCCACAAATAACCAGTCCGAATCTGCATGGGCGCGAGTGATCTTGCAGTCCGCTCGCGATTGCTAGTGGTCACGTTGCAGTGAAGCGTCAGCATGGTGTAACTGCATGCTGCTGGTGCCCTCGGTAATGTTATAACGCATCAACTAGTTGTCACAAGCGGTACTACACTATAGTTGTGTTATGACTGCTTCTTAGACGCGCCACATGTACAACAGACTGGCACGACTCCTAGTTCCATGAACGGACTCGGGACAGAAAGGTACACCACATGAATAAGATAGCCGACAGAATTCGAATTCGCACCTCCGGAGACTTAGACGCAACGCAGGTTCCTAATCGAACGCAGACTTCACACGCGACTACCCAACCCGGAAAAGCGTAAGAACAAAGACGGGTCTTTCGCCCCAGACACTTTGCTAGCCAGACCAAAGCGATTACAGCACAGTCCAGCCTTGCTTATATACCGCGGTTGTAGCTGGTTTTGCGTAAGCAAACCCTGGGAGCAAGGCAAGTGGATTGGAACAATGTTAATTGCTAACAGAACATGTAGAAAAGTAAATGTTAGTACATGCGGTGGCTGAAAGGGGAAAGGAATGCTTCTTTGACAAAAAACTGAAATGTTGATGTGGAAAGTTGGCTGGAAACCGGAATGTTTTCTTGGGTACAAAGACAATGTTTCATGTCGCGGAGGTTGGCCGGAAACAGGCGCAAAACTAATCGAACATATGCACTCGTCTACTGCGTATCTCAGCGACTTAAGTAACTAAAAATCTGTGGTCTTATGGGGATGTTGGGTCCCCATAACAGGTTAACTGAATTTGTGTTTTTAATCACTACTTTCAACTACAACTACTTTACCCTCTCTGATGCGGCTAATTTGTGTAGAGTTTGGATAAATTCCGTATTTGTTAAAATCTTGCTGGGCGTTCTACTAACAGCGAATCTGACCTTGAGCATCTTTCGATGCTTGCCATAAGTACGGGTTTCGTTCTCATTCCGTCGGTTTTGTATCAGTGCAAATCAGATGACTTATCGCTTTGTTTTCTTTAGTTTTTTTTCACAGTTTAAGCTCACAGACGCTATCAGAAGCACTGACACCCATTCAACCGGTTCGGTTAGAAATTAGTGTCTTCATTAATGCAGTAAGAAGACAGAGGTTGCGATATGTTAACATTTCGATTGCTCTCGTCAGTCGCGACGCAATACAGGCAAGACAAAACACGCAATATATAGGGTCCACACTTAGTAACAAAGATGATAAGAAAGATAAGAATGATAAGAATGACGTAATCAGGTCCAAGGCAATCTAATTGATTGCCTCAGTTGTTTCTGGGCACAGAGGACGGGACAATTCAACTTTATCAGTAGCGCCTCGCCAATTGCCAACAACCTTGGGTTCCTGTTGCGCAATAACACCTTGAATGAATCGATTGGGTTCACCTGGTGACGAGTGGTCATGAGGTGTTTGGTGATAGACGAGGCAGGGTTCCGGTTCATTCTTTGGTCCGCTCGGCCTTGGTTAAACAGCAACTGCCTTAGCCACATTGGGAAGTGTTCCGCCATCCTTTGAGCCAGCCGGCGACCAGTCTTGCCTATGTAAGTGTCACCGCAACTGCAAGTGAACTGATAGATGATGTTAGAGGCCGAACTGATTGGCGAGCTACTCGGACGGCTCTGGAGAGGAATCCTTCGTGTAGTGTGGATAAGTCGTAGTTGTGCGGTAGAGTAGGTGCGCGTTAGAGCGGACTTCAGCTTGTGACCAACTTCATTTGCCACGTGATCCCCCTTGAACGGTAAGAATAAATAAATATCCTTCTTCTCCGCTGTTTGTACTGGCAGTTTCTCCTTCGGGGGTCTGCTATGAATCTGAATGAATTTTTCCGGATACCCATTGGCTAGCAAAGTCCGGTATAAAAACTCTTCTTCAGCCTTGAGCAATTCCGGACTGCAAATCCGCCTGGCTCTGTAGAAGAGAGTTTTTACGAGGCCGCGCTTGTATGCGACCGGGGTGAAGCTGGAAAAATGTAGGTATTGTCCACCCCAGGTCGCTTTTCGGTACACAGTGCGCTGCAGTGTGCCATCGGTCCTTCTTTTGATGAGCACGTCCAAAAACGGCAGTCTGTTCTCTTGTTCCCTCTCCTGTGATACAGAAAGGTTAGGATGAATTGAGTTCAGGAGGGTAGAAAGACGGCCAAAATGTTCCTCATTGGTGAAGACGAGAATATCATCTACATAACGCTTGTAAAGCTTGGCTTCACCAATGCAGGCAGCAGCTTTCCTTTCAATCATACCTAAAAAGACATCTGCCAAAACTGGTCCCAAAGGACTACCCATAGCAACGCCGTCAATCTGTTTGTATGCCGTCCCTTCAAACTGAAATCGCACATTCTCAGTGCACAACAATATCAAGTCTCGCAGGAACTCCAGAGGAAGGCCCACAGAGAGGTTCTGACTCAAAAGAAACTGGCATAGGTCGTCGACCGTTTCACGTAGGGGCACATTCGTGAAAAGTGATTCCACGTCTATGGAATACATGAGCTCCGCGTCGAGTTTAGTTTGTTCCAGTATACTGGCCAATTCAAAGGAATCTTTCAAACAATGCGTGCTCAGGAGCTTACGCACGGGTTCTAAGAGCTTCGCCAACCAACGAGCTACTTTGTGGTAGGGTGAGTTATTCATACACATTATTGGACGTAGTGGTATTCCCGCCTTGTGCAACTTCGGCGCACCCCTCATTCTTGGTGTTTCCGTCCCTGTCGGTTTTAGCTGCCGATATTGTGACTCGGAGATATAACCATGAAGCAAAAGAATTTGTAGATGTCTCGTAATTTGTTTCTCCACCAACGTATTGTTGTCCAGCGTCTTGTCAATACGAAACTTGCGTCCATCTCCGAGAATCAACTCCATTTTCGCGGTGTAATCCGCTTTGTCCATTATTACTACACCCGTGCCTTTATCCGGTTGCAGGAAAATTACATCTTTCATTTTCTGCAGCTCCTTGATTGCAACATAGTGTTCCGATTTCAAGCAACACCTCTGACTAATAGGCGCGTTCTGGAACTGGTGCGCGATATCCACTAATTTTGCTCGAAACCATCCTGCATCAACCGTTGATTTCGGCGATAGGTCGCTGAGTTGATCGTACAGATATTCGAAAGTAATCTGTGTGTGAATCCTGTCCATATTCCTCGGCGGTATTCGGTATTTCAATCCCAGCGAAAGAACCTCCAACTGTTCTCGCGTGAACCGCGCTGTAGACAGATTGTACACATGCTTCTGGCCATCAGTAGGGAAAGGAATGTTGGCCGCTCTCACAAGGGTACCTTGAAGGCCGCGCAGGGTCTTGGTCCTAGTACGCTGGAGAAGCGACCTGGGGTGGACAATACCTACATTTTTCCAGCTTCACCCCGGTCGCATACAAGCGCGGCCTCGTAAAAACTCTCTTCTACAGAGCCAGGCGGATTTGCAGTCCGGAATTGCTCAAGGCTGAAGAAGAGTTTTTATACCGGACTTTGCTAGCCAATGGGTATCCGAAAAATTTATTCAGATTCATAGCAGACCCCCGAAGGAGAAACTGCCAGTACAAACAGCGGAGAAGAAGGATGTTTATTTGTTCTTACCGTTCAAGGGGGATCATTTGGCAAATGAAGTTGGTCACAAGCTCAGGTCCGCTCTAACGCGCACCTACTCTACCGCACAACTACGACTTATTCACACTACACGAAGGATTCCTCTCCACAGCCGTCCGAGCAGCTCGCCAATCAGTTCGGCCTCTAACATCATCTATCAGTTCACTTGCAGTTGCGGTGACACTTACATAGGCAAGACTGGTCGCCGGCTGGCTCAAAGGATGGCGGAACACTTCCCAATGTGGCTAAGGCAGTTGCTGTTTAACCAAGGCCGAGCGGACCAAAGAATGAACCGGAACCCTGCCTCGTCTATCACCAAACACCTCATGACCACTCGTCACCAGGTGAACCCAATCGATTCATTCAAGGTGTTATTGCGCAACAGGAACCCAAGGTTGTTGGCAATTGGCGAGGCGCTACTGATAAAGTTGAATTGTCCCGTCCTCTGTGCCCAGAAACAACTGAGGCAATCAATTAGATTGCCTTGGACCTGATTACGTCATTCTTATCATTCTTATCTTTCTTATCATCTTTGTTACTAAGTGTGGACCCTATATATTGCGTGTTTTGTCTTGCCTGTATTGCGTCGCGACTGACGAGAGCAATCGAAATGTTAACATATCGCAACCTCTGTCTTCTTACTGCATTAATGAAGTGGCTGAAGGGGACTCAGTGTTTCAAATTAGTGTCTATTTATTTATCGCGTCGCGACTCCATTTTCCTGTTAAAATAATCCACACATTTCACATTACCGCTATATGCAGCGCGTGCGCTGATGCCACTCGAATTTCGTTTATCTCGGACTTCTTTTCCTAACCAAAGTGCAGTAATGGTATTGGGGGTATTTTCTTCTTGCTTTCGTCGAAATTAAAAATAAAATAATAATAATAATGTGTCAGCTGTACGCCGTAACGGCGCTTCGCTGCCGCGCGACCACCACCAGTCGCGCGCGGGCTGAGTATACCGCGAAGACGCCCACCCTTACGCAGATTCGAACCGGTGACCTTATGGTTGCAAAGCAAACGTGCAGACCACTCGGCCACCGACCATCATCGAAATTAAATTACTTGCACCTAAATGCTCAGTCTCCAATCGTATGGCCACATTGACCCACTTTCAGTGTTTTTTAACCGATTCGCTTGTCTCTCTATGCTGCCTTTCCTTTTTACAGGGATCAACCCTATTTAGCTCACCACTTTTATTTGCTACCTTTCAGGCCAAGTTGGATGATTCTTTGTGACCGCAGGTGCCTGTTAGTGCGGTTGTTCGCTGTTTGTTTGGGATGGATGGAGTTGACCGACACCCTTCAGTGTCAGAGCACTGCTTGCTGAACTCTGAACTTGTGCCGTTCCTCTACCGAACATGATCATCCCACTCCACCCTCTGTGATCAAGCTGTGTTTTCTTTCTGTCCTGCTCCCTCACAACAACAAGTCATGCCAATATGTCCTCAGCACACATGTGTTGTGCATGAAGACACTGTTTGTGATGCGTTCCATATTTTCCGATGTTCCCAGTCACTTTCTTCTTGCTCATTTTTTCAGCCCAATGTGTTCAGGCTTTTGGACAGAGATTAAATTATTTCCATATGGTCTTTTATCATCTTACAAGTATTAGGATTGTGAGTACCACCAGGCTCGAAGTTGCATGCGCCATTGCTTATTGGCGATTTCCGCAATACTCTGTTGGACAGTTGCCCATCTCAGCGAACAAGCAAGCCACTGAACAGGCAACCTTATTGGCCAGTATTTTTAGTTATTACAATTTTACACGTCAAACGGATCCCTGCATTGGGAACAACAATCGTCGGAGGCTTGTCGTCGCATAGCAACTAGAACGATGTTTCATGATGTATGTTTTCGCAGGTACTCAATAGATGAATAACATATCGAAGCTTCTCACTCTGTTTTTTTGCGCCAGCATTTCTTGATCGTCACATTGTCTTTTGGCTGTTCTGTCCCCACGTGGCGCTACCAGACGGTTTGTATTGTATTCTTACACGGCTGCGCTCTTAAGAGCACGTCTTAGCTACTTCAAATGTATATTTGGGCCCTCATCAACCACAGTGATATTCTGTATTCCACGTTATACCTTCACATCTCATTGGCATGCTTCACTTGACTGCTATTCTGACATTCCAGTAGCTATAGCCTCACTTGCAAACTGAACACCTCTCAAACTAGTCTGGGCTATTCTTAAGCCATCTGTGATACATTTTAAGTCAAAATGACCGACTTGCGGTCGAAATTGTTAATTTTTTGGTCGACATTTGATGTTTTGGAACTTTTATGTACTCCTGTAACAGAAGCTAGGCACCATCCTGAAAAGATCTTGGGGATATACGGGAACAGACATTGCGCACTCCTTTCTTGAAACTTCTCTAACGATACGACCAAATTTCATGAAACACCTGAATATGAGCAACGAACGATGAGAAGATGCGCCTTTGAGATAGTAGCGTTGCATGAAAGGGCTCCTTATTAAACTTGCGTTCGTCGAGTGGAGAAACCTGTTACGAGGCAATTGGAGTCTCTGATATCAACAAGAGCACAACAGGACTCTTCATCAATGCTGACAGATCCAGAAGTGATGTACTTCCGTGCAACTGTGGAGGAGATAACGGAGAAACTGACTACCCCGCGGCACATCTAAGTTACCGTTGAACGCCATTCAGCGCCTTATTCTGGTGCGGATGCAGCGGCGGTTGGAGGAGAACGAATTTGCCTGACCGTATGTATGATTTTAAACACCCTCAGAAAGCTGAGTACCACTGCAAGTCCGACCTTGTCAACAGCCCCACCATGCTCGCAACCGGTAGACTCGTGCCCTCGGACCACGCATACATGATATAGGAAAGTCCGTCTTCGTCGTCTCGAGCGAGTTCAGTCTTCATCTGCAATGGACGCAAGCTCGCATGGCGCGCGCGAACATCATTTTGTCCACAGTCAAGCGAAGAATAGCCAAGGCATAGTTCACTCAAAGATCACAACCTCCCATGTCGCTGGGTCCTCTACTTTCGTTAAGTAGCTTGTGGCACGTGTACGTTGCACAGCGAAGACGAATTGTGCGTGACAGTTTTTAGAGAACGCCGGAATCCACGTACCAGACGATCTAAAGATGACCCTGGACTCGTCCGATTGCCTGTTTTTCTGTCACGTTCTCTCACGTGCCAAACCCGGCAGAAAATCTGTTCTCGAGAGTGAATGCATCAGCGAGACACCTGCTGACTACCCCGACACCTGATCAGACGATAAGCGCGGTCATCTATAAAAGCGTTAGGACGGCAACGCATCCGGACTGCACGGTGTACATCCTCAATATATTGATGGACGTGACAACAGCAGCGGGGCGGTTTTTCTCAAACAGAATGTCTGACGTTTTTATTTATCTTGTTTCTATTTTGTATGTAATAGAAAATGTGCCAGATTGCTTTGCAAACGTCCCAGATGATTTGCAATTTGTCCAGTGTGTTTTAAAATTGTCTTAGGTAGTTTGGACAATGTCCAGTTCATTTTAGGAGCGGAATATGATGGTTTTACTGTCCGATTGAGGTAAGCGGTCTTAACGTATTCACGCCTCGAATTCTCAGACTTCGGAACTAAAATCGTTTGCAAACGTGTTCCTCGAGTGTCTTCTCTGGAAATATGACATGACAACATTAGTGTCGACATTTTTCCATTATCCTCCACAACGTTAATTGCCCGCCTAAACTATTCATCTTAGCACACCCCATGCGTATCATCTCGTTTGGGAGGTTACAAATTTATGATTTACTTCGGTTGAAATCACTGGCAACGGTGACTCATTGCTTACCTCCGTCGGCATCGAAATAATTAACTCGTCTCTCCCGGAAACTCTTTAAGAGGCTTGTTTATTATTAACCGGTGCATCGTTTTCGCCCCAGTCACCTGTCGTAATGGTTTATCACCGCGTTATCACCAATCTTTTAGATTAGCCCAGCAGACAAGCAATGTTACCATCTTTCTTGCCTTGCATGGTACTGTTTCTTCTATGTGTTTCCCTATCGCATTAGATCGTTTATCGTGACCTGCTCTTAAGCGTTGTACTCGTTAACTGGTTTCTTTACACGATGCTCCACCAACTTTAGCTATTCCAGATGCTTATAATCCAATTCGTTTGGGACCGTTCGATGCAGGATGTACCTCCGCCATATGTTGCTCACTTAGACAATTGCGGAATACTGCACCATTGAGTAATTGCATTCTGTTGGCTTGAGAACTCCATCCGTTTGCTAGGCTACTCCATGATTCCATTTTAACACTCGACGAAAGTTCACTGAGCGTCGGCTATCTGCATGAACTTTCTCAGCGACGCATACCATGGTGATGTCGACATATTCGTGTCCTGATTGGTATTGCCGCAGTATCCGGTTCAAGCTAAATACGCTTCAAAGCTGCATGTTCAAATTAAGGGTAGAATACTCCCGACTATCAGTTTCCCTAATAAGTGTCTTTACCTCTTGTTGCCGTAAGGGTTAATGTTGGGAAGAAGGGTTTCTAACTTATGGCATATTCTACTCCATAGGCCCTAAAATGCTACTGAGATACATAAATTTCCGGACGATTTATAGCTAATACTCATCAAGGATCGGCGCAGGGGGTCTCTGCCAATCTTGGAGAAGGACGTTGTATTTCGTGGGTGCAAAGTACCCGTCGAAATAACTAACAGCGAGCGACTGCCCGTCTAGTGCAACTTGACACTTCTGGGAGCTGTCACAGTCACCAAAGTTGGTCAGTCGTTTAATTTCTTCAGTCCGAACTGACGTCTGTTATCCAGGCAGTAACACCGGCGTTATAAACCCTTTCACTCGCTGGTTAATATCCCACCATCTCGGTTGATGTTTGCGCTTCTAATTCCAAACGGACCTTATTCTTACGCGGTATCCTGGTCATTTATCTGTCCACAAGAGTTAACACATCTACCTGGATAAGTTATAATCAACGGCAGTAAATCAGCCAGTTGAACCGATGCTTCTCTGTCGTATAACCACACTGACCTGAGGATGAACGAATAACAACGGAGTGAAGTGAGGCCCCGCGTAAAACCTTAACGCCCTTTGCAAACATTTGTGATCAAGGTGCCCACACCTTGTCAACAACCTACCGTCACAAACAGCTTGCATTCGCGCAATGATACGGAGGCATCAGCGTGACAGATTCCTTGCGGCTTTCATCGCTCCGCGCCATAATCAGCCATTACCCCGCAGCTAACTCAGCGTCAACCACACATTAAACAAGTCCGACTAGGAGTCGGCAGCAGACGCGCTACTGGTGCCGACTTCGAGCCATGTTCTGTAACGTCTCGAGCCAAGCACAAGGCTAGTTACATGGATTCCAGTCTGGAAGTCGAGACGGACTAACAGCACCCAGTTTGGTCGTTCAGTGACTTCATTTCCCACTGCCAAGTTAACTTTTGTCCACCTCGAGCTTTGCGCCACCATACATCTACCAAAAAATAAGGCCCTCGAAGTTGGATTTGGAGTGCCCGCTGTATGGTTGGATTGCGGTACGCCATTTCTATTCATACTTCGGTTGGGAAGAGCAGCACCGAACCACCAAAATAAGGCTCACTTCGGTAGACGGTGACCGGGCATAGGGTGAACGTGCCCAATCTTGGACAACTTATTCAGCACTCTTTTATTCTAGAGAACTAGCATGATTATCACTACCTGGTACTAGCCTACGCACATCATCTTTTCGGACATGCTGTTTCCATGTGACACCAGCAATCCTCTGCAGACTACAATGATAAAAAGAGTTGAAGGCGTCCTAGGTCTTCAACTCGAAGGGACTGTCTCACTCTCATAGGGTAGGACGACCATCACTGTGGTCTTGTAAACACGGCCTTTGAGACTGAGGGAAACCCATTTCTGACGCCTTTGCCATACGTGAAGTGAATTCAGTGGTTATGTGCCCATCATGCTGATGAAACTGCCAAAGTAAGTGAATTGATCAACTCGATATCCAGATTCAGGTCTTCACTTGTCTGGCGGTCCTTTAACTATTTGCACTTTGAAGGGGCGAAGTGCATGCCTAATTATTGGACTACCCTAGAAAAGTTACAAGATTGTTTGCGCCGCCCCATCTTCGTTAAAATGTAAGACGATATCGTCCGCCTTATTAAGAACAGTTAGCCGTCCACCAGACAGCACTTCAACGCCTGCATCGTGGGGCTGTGAAAGAGAACACCATGATGGAATACACAACGGTTGAACAAAATTGGGTTATATCTCAACGCGTTCCATCTTCCCCAAATTTTCGCATCAGTCACGCTTGAAGCTGCATCGCGTGCGTCATGTGACACGTTGCACGTGTACACTCCTATGCGCCATACTCCTGGACCGTACCAGTGCGGTCTGTGCCAAGGCGATCACGTGATCTTACGTCGCGAACACAGTCCATGAGTATGGCTCTTACGAGTGCAATGTGTCATGACGCACGCGATGCAGCTTCAAGCGTGACCGATGCAAACATTGGGAACGATGCAACGAATTGAGAAAAGCTGGAAATACTGACAGACGCAAATTTTCGGAAGAGATCTCGTTCGTTACCGCAGGCTCTGACGCGGCCTTTGGTGTTCCACTGCAGGGCAAGTAAAATGATCACATATTCCATGGGAGCACCTTTCCGCGAAAATATTTCAGATAGAATGCATCGGTCGACTGAGCAGAACGCACTTTTGATGTCCCAGAACACAGCTATCGTCGGCCTGCGGTATGCATGTCGCTGTTCCAGCACCTGCCGCAGAGTGAGTATATGGTCTATTCAGTCCCGTCCTGGGTGGAAACCCGCCTTTTCTTCCCTTATCCGAGATTCCCGTTCCGCAGTGTGGCGACGAACGAGAATTGAGGTCAGCTATTTCGTCACAACTGGCGTTAGGCTAGTACCCCTGT